ACCAAAATATTTGTGTTGTACTTTTGCATCAAGTGACAATTAGAATGACACAAAATACCAATTTGAAACACTTCCTTACATTTGCAACTTCTTTAACTTACACAGGAATGTATGACACACCCTCAAATGATGTCAGCAGATATCATGTATAAACTTAATAAAAATGCCAAATACTTCAATAATAATATTCATTATGCCCTTAAATACAGAATTTTTATTTTTCATTCCTTACTAGCAATACTAGTACTAGAAATAATAAGTATGCCAGTATCACTCTGCCTTAATAGTACAGCTAATTCCTTGCTATACTGAAATATCATGCTCAATTATAAATTAATTTCCTCTACTAAAATTATTATAAGTTAAATATATATTATGCCGACGTCTGAGCCTTAAGAAATTTACTATAACATTATTATTTACAAATAATATTCCGACAAACTGAATTACCAAAGGGTAATAAAATTGTAAAATTACAATTTACCGTTTTTTTACAGGTGATTTACGAGAATGCAACTAGGTGAATCACGATAAAATTTTGTTAATAATAATAACACAAATGTTGCTCTGGTTACGACATGTAGTCAGTAATAATATTATTAATAATACTAGTAATATTACTTGCCATTATTTATTTTATTATTACTTCTTAGTTAATCTTACTCAAATAATTACAATATTTACATACTCTTGAGCCTTACAACAGAGTACAGTCATGACGATATTGCCCATTATAAAAAAAAATATCTGAAACAAATATGTTAATGAAGATGTTCAGAATGTATTACTGTTTAAATTTTGTGTTAAACAACAACACGTTTCCTACCTCTCTAATATTCAAGTTCAGCAATTATACTCTTCAAAACACACAAACTTCTCAAGTTTGAAACCGTATCAAGACCCAGCGATCTGAAAAGCGACATCTACACACACGCATTTGATTTTGAAACCGAAATTGACAAATTAAGTGGAATGTGAAAAAATGCAGTTTACGTAATCTTCGTTACTAAGTTTAGGCATATTATCTTCTAAGTTCCGGCTATTCCATGCCTATAACAGTCCGGTGTTTAGAAAATACAGGCTTACTAGTGTTTTCTTTTATAAACGGCAAATTGTTTATTTCACTTGTTTTAAAACCTAGGACTTTCATTGGCATGTGATACCCCAGAGCAACTTGTTATATCAGTCCAAGTGCGAAAACCGTGAGCAAAATGAGTGAGAAACTTAATTTTTAAGACTGTAGTCTATTTTCATCAAATTATTCAAAAATGTATACTTTGATTGTCCATTCCAATATATATATACATAACGATGAAATACCTGTAACCCGAGCGCTGGGTTATAGGGTTTTTATCGTTTTAGGAAAACAAAAGAAATATTCTGACGATATTTATTTTTGTTAAAAGTTCATAAATATTCTGGTTTGTGTGCTCTATGTCTGCCCATTTTGTTCATAGTTTTGTTGTTGTTTCAATAACTGAATGTACGCTATTAGATCAAGTAATAAATATTGTATGTTTAAAATTCACGGCTTAAATGCTATAAACTAGAGCAAAGCTAGCTATACTAAGTTTAATATTGAAGTCAGCTTTAAACGTTTCCTCCATTAAAAAAATTTTGTGCATACTATTATATGTTGCATGTAGGTTTTTTGTTGTTGTTGCTGATATTTTTTGTACATTTGAAAACATTGTTAAAACTTGGGACTAGAACAGTACAATAAATTGGTGATTTACACAAGCGATTGTTACACTCGGTGGCTTAGCGGTAAACTTGCTGGTTTATAATGCTAAAATTTGGGCTTCGATAGGAGCAGCGCAATTTTTTTTTTTTAAATTTTGCACAAAACTACTCGGTGGCAAGCAGTCCCTAAATTTGAAGTGAGAAACTAGATGGAATGTGGCCATCACTACTCACCCACCAACTCTTGTCAGACTGAGTAATGGAATTTGACCTTCACTCTTATTTTGCATCAATAACTACAAAGTGGGGAGAACGATTATCATTATTTTATTTTTAGCGGTAACGGCGCACAAACTTCCGAACCTTAGATTATGCTAATCACTGGACTGTGCTGTCATGGCGTATATTACCCACTATGTAGCTGAAATTTATGTTTTTTACCTTGTACCTCCAGAAATTATACATATCAAAATACAATGAGATAATCTTCATTTCGCGTATAATTACACTACTTTCAACCATTTTAATCAAGGGCAGTTTTCTGAAAACTGTTTTGAGCATTACTTATTTTACAATTAACCTAAGCATATATTATTCTTCTCAGCCAGGATTCCTTTTTGAAGTTTTATATTCCCTTTTGAACGTTAAGCCTCTCGTGATGCATGTTGCCAGAAAAAGTTATGGATAACCAATTAGAAACTATTTGAAGACAACTAGGTGATATATGGGCAACAGATCTGCGGAATATGAAATACATGAAAGCTTTTGATTACTTAAAGAGTTGCACTAATTGTATGTTTCAGAAGTTAAGACCTGCTGGTCAGGTTTGGTTGCAATTGACGTCTGAGGATGTGGATGATTAACTTTCGCATTTTGTAGTAAGATAGGTAATAACACCTTTGCATTTGAGATATAATAGATGCTTTTATTATAAATGTCAATCATTCTTTAGAATGATTATTAACTATATAAACCCATTTAGTTGGCTTAAAAAATTAATTGCTATACTGGGAATTTGGTTATAAAAAATTAATATCTGAATTGAATCCAAACCATTATTTGACAAAAGGCTCTGTGTGTGTGTGTCCGCTTATAACTGACAAATCGCCGGACCATTGTCCTACTCTTGTTGTGTAAACTTAAAGCTCCCTTCCTCCGGGAGAGTGACGCATAGGGATTCAACATTCGGATCTGACACACACCTCTTGTCACACCAGGGTGGGTGGGGAGAACTATGTCATCTCCATGCGTTGAACGAGTATGTCAGCTAGCTAGTAGTTTTAAGATATGGAAATTGTTATAGAAGTAGTGTTGTATTTTACCGCTATTATACCTCCCAGTGGCTCAGCACAATCTACATGGAGAAAATAAAATAATGTTCGCCTCCTACAAAATTATACATACCACAAACCAACACCAGCCAACGAAATCAATTTAAGAACATTGGGAAACTGTCGAAAATACTCAGGCATTGATTTCCCTCAGCGATTAAAAAAAAACAAGAAGGAAAAACAAAACAACAACAACAAAAAAAAAACCTACTGTA